GTGAGTCTTTTCATCAAACTGCACCCCATGCAATTGTATATTCCTGACCAGTCTCCTCTGAGTTGTACTTTGCTGATTGGGGTGCCGGTCAGCTGTACTTGCTGTGCCCCAGTGTTCCCCTGGTGGGCTCGTCTCCCCTACTGCCCGTGCTGCAAAAACTTCCCATGGGACAGGCTATATGCAGGTCCCTTGCGATGACTCACCGGCTTCTGAGTGGCTCCTTTTTTTCACTTGTTTTGGCTCCTCTCTCCTATGTGGGTCCACAGGAAACCTATTAGTGGTCTTGCTGGTCTGGGGGCTTGCTGGTCTTCTCCCCTGCTGCCTCCAGTACCTCCATCAGAGGCACAGCTGCAGTTTTTGCTGGCTCTTGCTCCATGCGTTCAGCAGTTCCAGCCTGGACGTGGCCGTGGCACAAAATGGTCGGAGTGGTTTTTCTTTCTCTCATCATGGCTTCTGCCACCTTCATGAACTCTGTAGGTCTCTCCTCTTCCCCCGAGCTCTAGTGGCCCCAGCTTGGCTGTTGTTGCTTTTTTGTAGTTGTAAATTGGTTGATTTGTGGGAGAGAGTGACACTGGAGACTGTCTATTCCATCGTCTTGACCAGAGACTGCCGTGGCTTGTTATTTTAAACCATGACAACATACCTGACATAAAAGCACTTTCTATCTGATCCATGATGACACTCACTGTCCAGGTATTGTGTAGATTCTTTACAAGTTAATTGTCTTTGGAGTATATTTGGAAACTATATTCACTATAATTTTTTAAACACAGGGCTCAGAAATATATTCTCAGAGTTAGTTCTTTAGACGTGGACTTTAAACTAAACCTTCTAATTAATATTCTGAGAGCCAAAGGCCATCTTGCAGGGGTTGTGTGGGATCTTTATGATGCTTCAGAGACTCACAGATAACTAACTGCTCACTCTAGGGCTGGGAAGGGCAGCTACTCAATCCAGGAAGGGACAGACTTTCTCCTCCAGGTAGGCTGCAAAGCCAGCAATGATCGTGGACTCTGGACACACCAGGAACGTTCAGCACTAATTTCTACACCCAGAATGGGAGGATTTGTCAGCAGATTTCCCTTTGGTCAGGTCATTCTTACTCATGGTGGTATTTTTACTTATGAATAGAATTCAGTAAAACTTGGAGAAAGTTTTCTGAGCTATTTAAAGTGTGTTTTAAGGGGTGGCTGGTTAGCTCAGTTGGTTAGAGCATTAGGCTGATAACACCAAGATCAAGGATTTGAATCCCAGTACTGGCCAGCCACCAAAAATAATCATAAAATGTGTTTTAACAGCATACGGGAGTGAGCATGGGGAGGCCCAGTCTCCTGTTTCTCACCAGTGTGCTCCGTTGCTCTAGACAAGGTTCTTAAGTCCTCTCTAACTGGCTTTGTAATCTATTTTCAACCCAATCAGGTTAAAAAGAAAAAAATTTTGATCCAGTATAGGCAAAGCCATAGGGATGGATCATGAGAGTGTTAAATCTGTGTGATTGAAAGAGTCACTGTTTTTATTGGGTTGGTATTGCTCCAGGGGTCATGCACTGAGTCCCTGTGATTTTTGTCGCCCTCAGCCCTGCATCTGGCCTGTGCAGGTCAGCACCTGGCTTGCGCCGAGTTTCTCCTGCAGTCTGGGCTGAAGGATTCCACAGACATAACGGGCACCTTGGCTCAGCAGCTCACCAAGAGGGCAGAGGTCCTTCAGGGCTTTGGCCACAGTGAGATGGCTTAAGGATGTTTCCAAAAGGAGACAATGAAGTGCATGGTAATTTATATCCTGCTATCTAAGTCGTTCACAGATTGAGTGAGACCAGCTGGGAGCCGGTGTTTTCCATCTCCTCTTCCTCCCTTCCCTCCTGTATACTCCCCTCCCACTGAGGATTTCTCAGTGATCTGGAGGCTCCTGGCTCCATGCCTGGCACATTGTAGAATCCTGAGCACAATCATCATCCCTCCATAGTCCATATTTTACTTTTTCTGCCCTTAAAGTGGAAATAGATAATGTTTATGGAGTCAGTCTCTGGAATCCTTAGAGGAGCTTATAACATGCATGAACATAATATAGTAAACAAACTTTTATAAGTATAGGAAATGTTTTATAATAAATATTGTGTGGTACAGCGATGATAATATAAAAAATATAATACAAATTGCTATTATCTTGAGCCATTAAATATAAGTGGCCTATTTAATTTCTTCCTTCATAGGCCTTTACTTGGCCATTATGATGGTCCAACTTCTGGTTTCATAGCGAGAAGGAAATACTTATACTCTGTTTACACAAACATTTGCAAGGAATTAATGAAAAGTTTTCTATGTTCTGAGCACTGTTAGTTAAGCTATAGAGTTTTAATCTTGAGATGTTTGGTCTTTTAATAGACAAATTCAGTATTGGCCCCCTACAGGTAATAAATACACCTTGAAAAGGCAACTGAGATATTTTTGAAATTTTTTCTGTTAACCTGAATTGAAGAATGGGGTTTTGTTCTTAAAACCCACAGGTTACATTCCCTGTCCCATCCTTTCCACCCACTGAAACCTTCATTACAGAATGAGACCCTCGACATAACTTCAAAAAATATTATAGCCTCTTGAGCAGATTAAAGATAGGATGTATCCTCAGGCATTTATTATTTTTATTTATTTTTTTCCTTTTTGTCTTTTTCCGTGTCCGGCAACGGATC